CTTTCTTTATTGCAACTTTGAATTTCAGTACCTTTTTTCGAAAAGGGGGGACGCCCCGGCCTCTGCATCAGAATGATGCATGCGACCACATTTATAAATAAAAAGAGGTTCAACAAGGTCTTATAGTCTGCGAACAATAAAAATGGCAAGCTCACAAAAGAGCCTCAATGCCAAAAACAGAAGGCCCAAAAGCCACAACCGGCTGGCATAATAAAGATAGGTAAACTAATCGCCTATCCTATTACATGACCGTCATCCAAACCAGTTGAAGATATCCCGCGCTACCGTCTCCCACCGGACAGATCCAGTAACCAAACGCTCCCTGGCCTCCGTCGGAATGAGTAAGGACCACATACGAATCAGCGTAGTAGCTCGGAATAAAACCTGCAAAAATGTATTGTTGTTGTTCTGTTAAAAGCCAAATCATTTCTGCAGTTCCAAATTACCCACAACAACGCACATACTCCTACCCGAATGTGTCTAGCTGTTTCGGACTCTATCCCAACAAGCCACGTTCCATATAACGTACTGACCGAATTTGGAGGAGTAATGTTAAAGGCAATTTGCACGGTGCGCCACAAAACTCTCGCCAACGGGCAATCAAAGAAAAGGTGCTTGATAGTCTCGTCCCGATCACAGAAACTACACCTAGTAGATCCTGTCCAGTTGCGCTTAACCAAGTTATCCTTTGTTAAAATAACTTGTTTATGCACAAATTACATAAACACTTTAATCTTCAAAGGAACTTTGACTTTCCAAACATGTTTGGAACTAGGAATAACACTAGAGTTAATGACATCGATATACATCGACTTGACTGTGAATTCTTCAAGCCTAGTAAGTTCCAACACAATTGATCGGGCTGATGAGCTAGCTGAACCTCCATCAGTCTACTCACCAAATGAAGCCATGCTTCCCACCGGTCGCCAACAAGTACCCTCCGAAACTGAATATTAAGGGGAATAGAATGCATAATCGTTGCAACAAGAGCATCACGTCATTGAACAATACGATACAGGGACGGATACTGGAGCGCCAACGACATTTCATCAAGCCAAGTATCCTCCCAGAAACGAGTGTTATTGCCACTACCGACAATAAACTTTGTTCTATTAAAGAAAGCGGCTTTGACTCTCATAAGCCCCTTCCAAAATGGCGAGTCAGTGGTCTCACTGTCACCTGGGACAAAGTCTTGGACTGCAGATACTTACTACGGAGAATCTGCGCCCACGTTGCCTCAGTCTCAACTAATAACTTATATAGCCACTTACTGAGAAGACATTTGTTCTTGACTTCAAGATTCTCAATACCAAGACCCCCCTTGGTCCTTTGGTCGACAGATGATATCCCATTTGGCGAGTCGGTACTTTCTCTTTAGTTCGTCACTTTGCCAGAAGAATCAGGATCGATAGAAGTCCAGCCTTTTCCTAACCCCAATTGGGACTTCAAAGAAAGATAAGAGAAACATTGGCATACTCGTGAGCACCGAATTAATAAGAATCAATCGGCCTCCATATGACATGAGTTTGCCCTTCCAACAACTCAGTTGCTTCTCAAACCGATCCTCGATGCACTTCCATTCTCTGTTTGTTAGCTTACGATGGTGAATGGGTATACCTAGGTACGTAAAAGGTAAAGCCCCTAGTTCACATCCAAACAATTGCCTATAAGCCTCTTGTTCCTCCTTGGCTCTACCAAAGCAGAACAACTCGCTTTTATGAAAGTTAATCTTCAACCCTGTCAATTGTTCAAATAAGCATAACACCAGCTTCATATTTCTCGCTTTTGCCAAGTCATGCTCCATAAAGATGATTGAATTTCAGTACCTAACCTTTATTTACTTGCACCTTATACTCTTGCATATTACCTCTTTTATACTTGCACTTATCTTTTATTAAAGAGTCTAGGTAAAGTAAACGCTTGGTGTACCAAAGCTTGTATCGGTGATAGATAGAGCCCGAGAGAATAAGATTCCTACCTTTAGCTCCTCTAGGATATCGACACATCATATTTTCACCTCCACACTAGTAAGTGCTACAACAGTTCCCTGCACTTGGGGATTATATCACTCCCGTCGCTGAAGCAACGTCATTAACTTAGCGACATGAGGGTGAAAGTAGTGTTGTTTCATTATACTCGATTGGTCGAAGGCTCCAGGGCTACTAATGGTGCCAATGAAGACCCTCCACCCTACTCATCGGACCCTCAGTGGCAACTAATGATGTCAAAAAAATCAAGAAGTCAATGAAGACCTCCACCCAACTCCTCGAGCCGGTCAGAAGCTCCAGGGCTACTGACAATGCAATGCCCCGAGATATAGCATAGAGGGAAGACTCGGACCAACCGCCACGAGCCGGTCCAGGACCACAACTCAGAGCCCACCACATATACTAGGGTGCATCATCTACTTGGCCTACAAGATATGTATATTTAGTAGTCCATGTAAACCGACTTGGGACCATGTAACCCTACCCCTCATCCACATATATAAGGGAAGGTAGGGCCCTCCCGATTGGCAGGATGAATACTCAGTGCTCACGCACAAACCCTAGATCTCATATGAGACAACCATCAATAATCATACAATCAAACATGAGTAGGGTTTTATTCTCCCCCATGAGGGCCTGAACCTGGGTAAATACTATCTCGTGTGCACCCATCTGGATTCTCTATGCGTACGCTATCCCATGAATATTATTGCCGAAAATTACACCGAGAGAGAGACAGTGATATTCTCTCAGTGAGATGTGAGCTTTACTATGAGATCCAAAGCCACACTTTGCATAAGTTGAGGAACTAAAAATGCCCTTTACTCTAGGAGAAAAGAGTAAAAATGTGTTGAGACTACGGTGGAACAAACGTAAGTGCGAAAAGTAGAAGGAAAACACAAAATAGACACAAGATGTAGAGTGTCAGTCTCGTTTCTATTATTCAGTATCTACAGATAGAATAGGTGTGTACAATTGTAAACCTACCCTTTTTATATATGGACTTGATAAAGGGAAAGCCCGCTTATGGGGTCAGTTTTCTAACGCCCCCCTTGGACTGTTACTCATAATATGTCTAAGCCCCAGTAAGACTCTCAAAACTCTTCCATGAAAAATAAATAGATAAAGGGTATTGCACCAATTGCCTCGTTAAATACCTTCATTTATAAACTTTAGTACAACTCAAACAAGACAAAATTGTACAATCTGACCTTCATATGAAGTTTCTCTCTCTGAGTACCACAATTCTTTAAGTCTTCTCGTTCAAATCCCTTGAGCACATCTTCGAGTGTGATAGTAGGAGTGACTTACTGAATAGATCAATTAGTGAATAGATGTGTAGATTATTACATCACTTAGTATGTAGTCCTTTTCAATGTTCATCCACTTGCAATTCATGATCATGGCAGAATTCTGGATCAACCCGCTTCTTGAAGCGACTTCGCATATTCTGGACATGTGTAACGTATACTTCATTACATAGCTGTATAATTTTTGGTGCCTTTTGGACATCAAGCGACCCGATTCTCACATGTGGTATGTAATTCTCATGAGTTATCCACATCCTGGTGATGCTCTCTATACAGTGTGATCTCCCCTTTGTGGATACTACATTGTGTTTTAGTATTTTAAGGGAATATGTAGTTCCTCCCTATATATGTACTCTTCAAGTGTGTGGTCTCAATATAAACAAGTCATGGATGTGACTGCACATCCCACTATGGCTAATTATTTTTATTCGTTCAATAGAGTGGTTGATATCGAAGCAATATTCTTCATGCCTTCCTAATGCTATTCCCTTCGTTTCAAAATAAGTGTCTTGAGCTTAGTACAAATTTGTACTAAAGTTAGTACAAAGTTTAGACATTTATTTTGGGACGGAGGGAGTATTTAGTAAGATCTACATGGTAACTCACTCAACATGTTCACTACAAATGTGACGAGGTGATTCATGCCGCTGCAGATGTGAGCACTTCTAGGCACTAAAGTATGATGCCGAAGACCGTCTAGTGTTTTCCTCCCCCGCCTCTAGGCTTGTATGGACCTTTACCATAAGGTTTAAAAACCCTTTGGGATTGGAAGTGGGTATGATTCATTATGACCAGATCTTTTCAACACTTTCGATTTGTGTTCATAGATTATCACACTGATATTTCTTCGGGAATGTTTGATATCCAAGATTATGACATAGATTATCACACTGACATTTCTTCGAGAAGGGAAGCCTTGGCGCAGTAGTAAAGCTGTTGCCTTGGTTCAAATCCTGAAAACAGCCTCTTGCAGAAATGTAAAGAAATGTTGCGTATAATAAACCCAAAGTGAGCACAAGGAGACGTCTAACAGCAACAACAATAAAACAAAGTAACAGGAATGCCGAATGCTTGCCCAGTGAGGCCAATAGTTGAGGTACCTACTCCATAACACATACTATTCCCTCCGTTTCAAAATAGATGACTCAACTTTGTACTAACTTTAAAGAGAGTACTTGTGAAAAATCATAAATGATGAGCCTCTCTCACAAATTTACATCGCGCATGTTTTTTTTAGTGCTGCATGGTCTTTTTATTTGACCGGTCACAATTGTAATTGCGTGTAGAAGCGAAATGTCAAACAGAGGATATATGATCCAGAAATAAGAGCATGAACCCCGCAAAAAAAAAAAGCATGAACATGAAAACAACAAATAATTTCTTGACCACTTTAGCTCCCAATTTTCCATGATCCCAGCAACTGGTATATAAATGAACTAAAAGGAGACATCTTACTTTACCAATTTAAAACTAACACTTTCAATTCAATTCACTAGTATTAACACCATAAACATCTATATATGTTACAAAGACAGTCGATCAGTCTAAACAAGAACTCATGAGAAAAAGCAATTTCGCCATTTTGCACATGGAATCCTTTATACACACACCGGTATCCCGATGAAGACCTGATATGCACCATAAAACCAGCTGTGATCCACAAACTGATAACAATGATAAAAGGCCGCCACAAAATAGATATCTAGCCTTGGCGTTTCAGAGCATATATCAATTCCTGTCAAGCAGCAATTGAAGGGAAAAAATGCAAGGTTACAAGATGGCACAACAATGAGCAAATAAATGACAGCTAAACTCATTTCAAGGTTGGTTCTTACCAGATCACCATTACCAGAGGCAAATGAAGGGTGAAGGTCCAACAGAAGCTTGTCTTCCCTCAATCTTTCCAAGCCATCAAAGAGAGACAGTTTTGTCTCAGCAGAACCAGAGTCCTTCACTGCAACACTTCTATTGTGGAGGTCCACCCTTATATACATCTCAAGTTCTTCAACTTGCCGAGACAACTGAAGAGCAATGAACTGAAAACACGAAACGCTTTTGGTTATTTGATTTTTAACTACATGGACCAAAGCTGCCCAAAAGTTTAAAACTGAGAGAGGCTTGCAAACAATCACCTGTAGAAGATGTCGAATGGACACCCTTGGTCGACAACTTAGATAGGGCTTTTCCAAGTTAGGCGTTGTTTGTCCATCAAGAGGAAGAAGAACAAGATACAAGTTGAACTGCAAGAATATTTTATTTTTTATAAAACAAGAAAAATAATGTGAAACAGTTTAATGCAGATCTACATGAGCGGAACTACTAGAACAAGAGAAATAGGAGAGGAAATTGCAGAGGAATGCTCATACTATGCAGAAAAGGCCAGCATCACTATTTATGCATGACCACATGGGGCATGCTCAGGAAAGTTTTACTTTTGTCCCTCTTTGAAGTGTCCCTTTTGCAACAGCTTTCAGTTTTTCAGTAATTTCTTGATTATAAATGCCAAAATTTATGCCCAGGAAAAATAATGTGGAATTTATATAATTGCGCATGCGGTTCTATTGTACCTCCTTGTTTTCATCAGTTGCACGGAGGTGGTCCACCAACTTCGCGAAACGCCCACCCTTCCCCAGCCTGCCGTTTGTTCCACCAGCATTGTTGTACCGAGTTTGGCTTCTTGTGCCATTTTTTCCCCATGCGAGCATCTCACCCCGCAATGGAGAGGTGGTGAAACCTTCTTTTAGAGATACTACTTCGTCATTCTCCTCAGATCCGTGGTCACTACTGGCAATGGTTCTAGCAGGAGAAGGTGTTGGTGCAGGCCTTTTTCTACCTCTTCTCTGCCTTAAATCTGGAGACTGGTTATCAGGAGAAGGCGACTCTTTGCTCTCAACATTAGCATTTTCTTCTTCTCTATCCTCATCATCAGAGCCAGTAGGGGCAATATCACGAGCAACCGTTCTACCTCTCCCACGGGTACGCACATTTCTCCTGTACTTCCTTGCAAAAGCACTGGCAGTAGCTTTTGCCGTAGGACGCTTCTTACCGAGGGCCTCCGACTGCTTTCGAATCATCTCCTCGATGGTTGCTTGAATCTTCCATCAAAAAAGTGATATCGATGATAAAATAAAAATGAGAAGGAAGATAAATACTGCATGAGAAGATGTGAAACACAGTGCTGTAGCTATTAGTTATTACCCAGCAGATAAACTTACCTTCTTATTCCGAGTCCTCTCCTCTTCACCGAAAGCAAGTTCCTGAAGCCTCAAGTATATGAGAACACCACAAGAAGAGCTAAATGGGGCTAAATAAGAAAAAAAAATTGTTGACGATGTAACATAGACAGCACCTCTTCCTCATACTTATCAATATCTGGATACAAGGTTGCAATAAGTGCATCATAATTAGGATCATCCCTCAAAGAACGTCGACTTGCACAATGAGTACGGCATGCTGGACACTCATTATTTCTGCAAAATAAGTTTGTACTGTCAAACGAGGAATGGTTTATTTTATGATTTTTAAAACAAAATTAGACTGTGAATTTCACAGTGTCAATATTGATAACGTGACAAGCTTGTAGACAAATGATGTTTGGCAGCATACCCTAGCCTCATAGATTTATCAATGCAATCCCTGCAGAATCGGTGCAAACATTCCATAACCGTTCTTGTCTTCCGGATAATGCCTGCAAATTAAAGAATCAGACTTTTCATCTGTCATATCTTCATGTGACAGAAAGTGACACATGTAGAGAAAAATGGAATCCATCCTCTAATCAAAATGACAACAGGTATATATACCTAAACAGATTGGGCACTGGACTTCTTTTCGGATTTCTGCTAATTTCACGAGCACAAACCTGAGTAGAAAAAAGTAGTTCATGTAAGGTTCCAGCTGTGTGAAACATCAAGTCTTTTATAGCATCTATCAACCAAAATGATCCTGATATTTTTTTAAATAGTTCAACATAAAGCAGTAGCAACAAATCTAGTAACGTACGATATCTGACATAAAGAATAATAGATATGGTCTTGAGACCAATTCTGATCTACAACGCTGCTCCATATAAATTTCCATAGCATGTGTATTTTCAATAGGACTGCTGGTTGAAGAGCATGATATGCATTTGTAACAAAGTGCTATGTGCATGGAACTAATAGGGAAAATCATAAGGAAAAGAGGAGTCTGTACACAGGAAACAAAATTAGAACTTAGAACACAGACCTAAGCTGCTATAAAAAGATAATGTTAGAACAGCTAACAAGATAGTAAGGTGACATCAACGAAAATCGTCTAGGACAGCTTAACGGACAATTTCAACTAGAAGTTGACAAGCTATGCCAAATTATCAACATATAGCCGCAAGATAAGAGCAACGAAGCTGCGGATCTTTGTAACGTACAAAAAAAACCACGAGACAAACAGAGCAGTTCAGATGCAAGTGGTTAGCCGGTGACTCCAGTCCAGGCATAACAATGCAGCACTGGTAGCTTAGACAAGTGGGACTGAGACCGAATACTATTCCAAGGAATCTCCGTCACGGGCTCACGGGCATGGCGTGGCGTGCAATATGATCGAAGCATGCATACCATCGAAGAGGTCGGATGCATAGCTCGCAGAAACAGGAAGGAAGACTGTTAGTTGGAAAACATATGCTTGCATAGATAGGGTAGCGATGCACGATGGCCTGATCACCGAACGAAGAAGCAACGATATTCGCCGCTCTGAGAGTCTAACAGACTATCTGAGACCACCAGTTCCGGCAGAAACGTCGCAGATTGACCGGCGTGGGTGGGTGGGAACAGGATGCGATGAGGGGGCTAGGACTAGAGCATCAAGCATGGCAGCGCGAGCACGCCAAAAGATAAATCGCGTAGACAGCCAGACGGGATCCACGAGACCGGAAGGCCGGACAGGGCCGGAGAGACCCCGGGGGAGGAAGGAAGACTCACTCGTCCATGTCGCCGTCGCTCTCCGACGACTCGGTGTCGCTGTACGCGCCGCCGCCGCCGCTCATCGCGCCCGAATCTGCCAAACCCATACGAAACAGAACACGAACGCTTCTTAGCCATATTCACACGGGGGCATGCAGCAGAACAGAACGCGGCAGCCCGCCTGCCTGCCAGCCAGATACGATACGAGGGGCCCGGATGCGGTTAAGCTCACCGCCTGCGCGCAGCGGCTGCGGGTCGGTCGCCCGATTGGCGGCGCCTCCGGCCGGCGTCGGATGGAGCCCTCCTCCTCCCCCGCCGGCGGCGCCGGCCGAGGGAGCGTCCGCCCCGTTGGCCTCGACGTGGTCGCGGGGTTTGGAGGACGATGGCAAGGGGAGCTGGCGCTTCTGCGCGGGCATTCCGGCGTAGGATCCCGGGCCGCGGATCCTGGCGGCGCGGCGGGGGCCGCCCTCGCGAGGCGTTCGGGGGAGGGGCGGGGGATGTGGCGGTCGACGGGGAGGACGGGACGACTGGAAGGGAGGAGGGAGGTGGCCAGGCCAGGCCAGGTGGGTGCGGGACGGGAGGGCGGAGAAAGAGAGAGGAGGACCGGAAAATAAATAAGGAACCGGATGGATGGATGGATGCGTGTTCGCGTTGTGCTCGGTCGTGGAGGGGGAGGGAGCCCGGCGTCCTGCGTGTGGCTGTGGCGTGTGGGGCCTGCTGCTCGGGTCGCCTCCACCGCGGTCTGCCTGTTTGGCCTGGGGAAGCGCGCGGGAGACCAGGGGCGAGGCCGGCAGCGAGCGACGCCAAGGACATGCACGCCGCCTCGCCTGCCGTGCTTCTGCTGGGCTCCTCTTCCTCCGCCTGTAGCACCTGCGTGGGGACAAAGCGGCGGGCAGCCGTACTTCCATTCCATGCCGCTCGATTTGGTGTAAGGGCCCGCGTTCCTGACATAGCTAGAAGACTCGTCGGCAATCAGCTTCCCGAGCTACTGCTACCCATCGTAGCCATATTACCGTAGTCGATTTTGCGCAGCCGGCTGTGCCGCCGGCGCATACGGCATAGCCCTTGGAGGCTCTGCCGCCGAGGCCGGCCGGCGCACCGCGCACAGCCGCCGCACCCTTCCCGCGCCTGGTGCCGTACCGCCTCCTCGCCTGCCGCCGCTCGGCCAAACAAGCCTCTTTGCCGATCGGCGGGAATCAAGCAAGCTGAACTTAGATCACCCGCCGGGAAAAATGATCTCTGTCCTTCAATTCGTAGAGCAAATGGAGAAAAGGCATCCAACAGGAGACAGAGCAATAGAGTTTAGCTTATGTTTGCCATAACTCGGAAGCCGGCAACAGGGTGCTGTCAAACTTCGATCTATAATGCAGAGGAAACAAGTCGCCCCAGTTAGCTACAGGAGACAGTTAGAGCGATCGAGCACTAGCCAGTGGATAATAAATCTACGCGGTGAAATAACAAGACGCAGTGTGGCTTCTAGTTCAGCACATCATGCAGTATACTCGTAGAACCAAATTTATACAGATGGAAGCAAGCAACTTCTATTCTATCGGAAAATCCTACCAACACTGGAGACACAAAACGTTTCCTCCTAGCTAATTCCTAAATGAAAAAGGATCCATCAGCATGGGACGGAAGAAACACGTCTAATCTAGGTATAAGAGGACCATAAAAGACAGCTAGCGGGTCATCCTACACTGCAAGGCATTGCGATTGAATCTACTCCGCACGGCATTGAAACTCACAAGTTTTATCTATCCTGTGGTGAACTATCGTGATAGTGAGGTCAGAGATTTTCTGGGCTCAAGAAGACTGCAACCCGTCAGGCCATTAAGCTGGTGTCAAAATGCGCGACAAGTGAAGTGACAACGATATGCATTGGTTTTTCTAGTTGCGAATTGTCACCACCTGATTGGTGCCTTACAGTCTTGATTTCTTAAAATAAGAACTCGAAACCACATATATAATTCATGGTGGATAGAGCTGCAGAGGGAAAGGAGTAGCTAACTAACTGGCTATTCGATCGTAAGAAAAGAGAATAAGGTATGGATTCTCAGAAATAAAGAAACTATTCCTAGCAGAAGTCATGAACTGGGAGCTCAAAATAATACTAGTAGCAATAACATCGTAATCAACAAATCAGTGACTTGGAGTAACGAGAACTGGTCTTGCATTCAGGAACGGCAACGACAAGCAGGAGATCGATGTGCAATCAGCGTCTACGCCATGACAGGATGACAGCAGTGGTCATGGAACAATGCTGTCCCTGGCATTCGCGGCCGGCGCTATGGTGTCCTCGTGGCGAAAGCATGCACACCATCATGATGCCCGAGGCCTCACTTTTATGCAAGGATCGACTATCTCGTGGCGATAGTCAGCTAGCCCAAAGACAACAGAGCGGAACACGAGCAATTGGAGCGATGCAATCGTCGAGCATCGCGGATGTATAAAATACCACCACTTTCGCTGAGCTGACCAGCTAGACGGGCCGTGTCTATCTCCTCGCCGGAGGAGAGCGTCGCAGCAGCAGCACCGGAGGATGGCTAGCGCCTAGCGGACGGCTGCACGAGAGATGAAGCGGCGACGAGTTCGGATCGCCTTGACGGGCACGGCTAGATGGCCCAGCAGAGGAGAAGAGAGCAGGGGTCAGGGGCAGGGAAGGCTTACTCGGCGTCGCCGTCGTCATCGTCGTCGGCGCTGAGAGACGAGTCGCTATCGTCGCCGCTCCCGTACCCTCCGCCGCGCCCGCCCTCCGCGTCGGGATCTGCGGAACCAATCAACCACGGACGAGACCCCTTAGAGATACGCACAGCCCGCGGCGCCGAACGCGATGCGCGTGGGCATCGAGCGACAGAGATACCGGCGGTGCCGTTCGTCTCACCGCCGTAGTGCGGCTCCCCCGGCGGCACCCTCGCCTGACGCGCGGCGGGCCCGCCTTCCGACGGCCCATGCGAGGCCCCGCCCCGGCCGCGGCTGGCGGCGGCGTGGCGGGCCGCGGCGTGCCCGTGGGAGCCGTCGTCGCCAGAGGCGGGCGGCGGGAGCGGGCGCTTGTCGGCGGGCATTCCGGCCCCCGCCCCGGGGTTCTCGCCGCGGCTTTTCCCTCGCGGCCCGCGGAGCGTCGGGTCGGGGAGCGGGTGGTGGTTTCGTGGAGAGGGAGGACAGGGAGCGCAAAGAGGTGGGTGGAACTGCGGCAGGGAGAGGAAGGAAGGAAGGAAAGGCGAGGAGGGTCAGGGGGCTCTCGTCTGTCAACCAGGCCGGGGGCGCATTTTTTGTGCTGTGTTTAGTGTGCGTGTGGCGTCTCTCCGCCTGGCCAGATTTGACGATCAGCGAGCGAGGAAGGGGCCAAGGGAGAAGCGGGCGGCGCACTGCACGGACGTGGTAGCCCGGCGGCACACGGCGGCGTGCCCTGCCGTCTTTGCCGAGATCCGGCTAGTCCTCGGGCACCACCTCGTGATTCAGGAGTTCTGCACTTCGACGCACCGTTGAGAACTTGTGTAGTGTAGCTCCAGTTTATCAACGGCAAGACCTGGCTGCGAATTCTTCTAGGGTTTCAGGCGCAGCCTAACCAATAATTTGTAGTGTTTTAAATACGTACTCCCTCCGTTCGAAATTACTTGTCACAAAAATGGATGTATCTACAACTAAAATACATCTAGATACATTCATTTCTTTAATGAGTAATTCCGAACGGAGGAAGTATATACTACAACAATTTTTTTGCAAGATAAAGCCTCGCCATTTAGGGGTCCTAAGACCATAAACTCCCTCCACTAAGAGCGTTTAGATCACTACTTTAATTATCTAAATGCTCTTATATTTCTTTACGGAATGAATATAATGTTAGGTGCTTACATAAGTTTATAAGCATCCACACTCGAGAAATGAGCACAATGCTTCAAAAAATCTGGTTTATTTTTTCTTTGTAAGCACTCTACAATGAGACAGGGTATTGGTTTTCTTACGTCTCTTGAAGTTTGGCGAGGATATCATGGAGATTTAAAAAATAAGTCATTTTTCATGGAGATTAATTAGACTATTGTCCTTATGAGTTATCTATCTAATTTCTACCAACACCACTAAAATTAGGGATGAAAGCGGAGCTAAATTCTCTGCCCGTTTCCAGAAAACATGAGCGAAAATATGGAAACGGAAACAAATACTTATCACCAAAACAACATGTGACCTCATCGTCACCCTGTTCTTCCCAAGCATTGTACCTTATTAATTATGTTCCTAGATGAGAATTTTATGCATAGTAGTACATCTTATTTGTATATTCATGGTATATCATAATATTTATGCTTATATTAGCATTTTGATTTGTTCATTCAATTGTATTTTCTTTATCGTTCAAGAGGTTTTCAGTTCTAACGAGATTTCGCTATGTATCATGGGTCCATGCGGTGTTCAGTATATTTACTCCTGTCGCCATCTACATTTGTATTTATTTTGAGATTTTGTATTTATTTCCGCTTCCACTAAAATTACGGAAATAAATGTGCCAACATTCGGCTCTATTTGTTTTTGCTCAATTTTTATCTCTCCTTGCAACAAGATAAATAATGAGGTCTTAGAAGCTTTTAGGATTTCTATGAGGAGATTGGTGATGTGCATAGACAACACTATGCCATCATCACTCTTCTTAAAGTGTCTGGTGTTGATAAGGTTCAACAATTCAAACATGCACGTTTACTTAACTGCATATACATCAAGATATCCAAGGCTTTGACTATTAGGCTTGAGCTTTCTGGTAACAAGCTTAACCTAAGTGCTCATGGTATAACCTTGCATAAGATTCTTTTTGGCCTGGTTGATAGTAACTCATTTCTTTGTCTCTTGAAGATTGGTGAGAATATTGTTTCTCTTATCAGATACCTTACTTCGAAGGAAATTTAAAAAATAATTCATTTTTCATTTGTTTCTGCTCAATTTTCATCTCTCATTACAACAAGATAAATGATTATGCCTTAGAAGCTTTTAGAGTTATATGAGAAGATTGTCAATGTGCGTATAGAGAACTATGTCATCATCACTCTTCTTAAAGTGTCTGGTGTTGATAAGATTCACCAATTCAGACATTCTTTTTTCCTTAAATGCATATACATCTAGATATCCAAGACTATGACTATCAGGCTTGAGCCCTTTGCTAACTAGCTTAACCTAAATGCTCATGGTACAACCTTGCATAAGATTCTTTGTGGCCTAGTTGATGGTAACTTGTTTTTATGTCTCTTGAAGATTGCTGAGGATATTGTTGTCCTTATCAGATCCTTAACTTTGAAAGAAATTTAAAAAATATTTTATTTTCCCATGGAGATTAATTAATAGAACTCTTGTCCTTATGAGTTATCTATCTAATTTCTATCAACACCACTAAAATTAGGAATGAAAGTGGAGCTGGAACTCTCCACCCGTTTCCGTAAAATACGAGATAGAGGGAAAATATGGAAACGGAAACGAATACTTATCTACAGAATAACATGTGTCCTCCTCGTCACCATGTTCCTTCTAAACATTGTACATTATTAATTGTGTTCCCAAAATGAGAATTTATGCATTATAGCGTATATTATTGCATATCCATGACATATCATAATATTTATACTCAATTAACATCTGGATTTGTTCATTACATTGTTATCGTTCAAGACGTTTTCAGTTCTTATGAGCTTTTCACTATTATCACGTGTATGTGCAGTATTCAGTTAATTTTCTTCTCACACTGTTAAGTTTGTATTTATTTTTGAGATTTTTCTATTTATTTCCGCTTGCACTAAAAACGGAATAAATGTCCAAAGCTCGGCTCCATTTGTTTCTGATTGATTTTCATGTCTCATTGCAACAAGATAAATGATGTTGTCTTAGAAGCTTTTAGGAGTTCTATGAGGAGATCGGCGATGTCCATAAACCAAACTATGCCATCATCACTCTTCTTAAAGTGTCTAGTGTTGATAATATTCAACAATTCAAACATGCATGTGTTTCTTAACTGCACATACATATAGATATCCAAGACTATGACTATCTGTATGGAGAAGAATGTCTCTATTAAGTCTAGAAATATCATGGTTATGATTATTTTTCATCCCGAGGTGATGCATGACACTCATAGAAAAAACCAAGTAGGGTTTATCCTCAAGTTAGGCTCTAGAAAAGCTTGTGATGAAGCAAACGAGAATCTAATTTCCTATTGAACTGCCAAATAGCAGTGGTTTTTAATGACCCGTGGTGCGTCTTTATTAATAGATTCCATTAACCAATATTCCATGTGGAAAACTTAATAATGAAAAGTGCCCATGTTTTTAGAACCATAAGGGTGTCAGGCAAGGTGACCCCATGTCACCATCCTAACTTAATTTGTTTGTGAAATATGTGTATAAGATGGTGTTAGAGGCACAAAAGAATGACTTTTTGAAAGGCTAGCTCACCATCTTGTTGACAGTGGGGTGGACATATGAATCCATTTGGGTGCCTCATGATCCTGATATAGCGCTTATTTTGAATTGTTGCTCTATATTGAATATATGTTCAACCCGGGGGCCTAATTTTTATAAGAGTGAAATTTTCTTTCGAAGGGTGATAACAACATTGTTGAAACGCCAAAATAATACTTGGAGGATCCTCTAGGCTGCCAAACTTATGAAAAAAGGATAATTGGAAGGGCTATCACTTGTATAGAAACGAGCAATAGAGGCATCACTCGAAGGCGATTTTGGCACAAAGCATTCAAGCTTCTCGTAATAACTCCTTGGAGGCGTTTATTTCTTATCAAAAGTTCTGGAGGTGGTTAATATAACAAAACCGCATGTAGGAAAACTTTGAGATGGTTGATATTCTGAAACAACCTCTAACTTCTGACGAGCACAGATGGTTTTGCATTCTAAACCACATTTGGTTTGCTATTACATTGGTTGCAACAATTTTCCTTCTCTTTCTTCTGAATTCTCCTTCGTCCCTCTTCATTTTCCTTCCCTTCACTTTTGTTCCTGATCCATGGTGAAACCTTAGCACCACTACCACCATATTCACCTTCCCAAGCATGCTAGATCTTGAGGCGTCTTCACTGGTACCGCTGTCAATCGAGGCATTCGATGAAATAGGCCGACGCCATGGCAGAACCGTCAGGCTCCATCATCGACCCAAGCCTTCGACCAACAGAGCTGATGTCATGGCAGATCCGGCGGGCCACACCATCCACGGAGGAGAATGTCGCCGACCTCCATCAAGGCCTTCATCGGAGTTCATCTCCAACATAGCGAGCTTCCAAGTGTTACAGGCCTTCGGACTAGTATTTTTAGGGTTAGATTAGGACGGTGTTACAGCCTAGGGGTGCCTTACCTTGTCGATTGCCAGCCCATGGGCCATCATGCCAGCCCATGGGCCTTGAAGAAGGAAGCCTTTGGAAGCCTTGTTGTTCAAGTCAAGGAAGACACATCCATGGAGGACTCCCCTCCATCGATGTAGCCGACTAGGTTGTGTAATCCTAGGTTGGCTATCTACTAGTAGCAACTTCACTGCTATCAAGCGAGTGAAGTCAAAGGCTGAGCCTTCAACGTCGGCGACTTCATTCATTGTTTGATACAGGACAGGAAGGGGTTGCACAAGTTTTTGCTGCTATAGGACGTACCCTTCATCATCGACAAAGTGTTGCACAAGAGAGCATATTGGATCTGGAATGCGAAGACCAACATCCTTGAGCCAAACTCCTGGAATATTGCCCTGCTTCACTGCTTTTACACTTAAGCTCTTTTGTTTTTTGTTTAAATTGTTGTTTATTTTGATCAGACATTAGATATGTATTGAATATAGTTATATTGCCCCAAGTTGGGCCCTCTTATAAGCTTTTGTGCCTTTGTTAAATTTTGATCATTGATGCGGTGGTGCGGTAGAGCAGCGGAAAACAGAGTGCATCAGAAAAGGAGCAGCAGCGTGAGGAAGAAGAAGAAGCAGATGAGGCGCGTAAAAGCTCTCTCTCTCTCTCTATCCAGCTCGGACAGACTCCCTACGCACACATCCAGTGTCAACTATCCAGCTCGGCCGGCCTCACCTTGTCTGTTGCCGG